TCTTCGTCGCCGACAGCGCTGAACACATGAACGCGCAACAGGCTCTCGAGAAGGCGATCAGCAACACTGAAGGTCACGCCGAACCCCTGAAGCGGCGCATGTCGTCAAAGCTTCGATCGTTTACCAGTGGTCTACCTCTCCTACGCCGCCACAACACTGGAGAGACTAGCGCTGGTATTAGCGATATACCGGGTGCAACGTCGCCAACAGCAGCTACAGCGCTCGCGGCTCACGAAGAGACTGAAGAAGGCTCAGAGGTGCAGCATCCGGACGATGAAGCTGTCGGGGCTTACCTGCTACGAAACGCCCGCAAGTACGTGAACATCTGCGAAGCTATGCAACAGTCACTGATATGATCCAGCGGTAACGAGTTCACCTCCATCATAGGATGTATCTCAAAGCGCATTCCTTCCCCGACTGACTTTGACCATGAGGCTTCGGAGGCACAGGTGTCAGATTTGACCTCCCATTTGCCAACAACCCTGCGCCCAGCGGTTAGACTGTTCCCTGAGGTCAAGCTTCTCACCGAGGATTACCAAGACATCGGCGTTGCTATCGAGATCGAGGGTGTCCTGCACAACCGAAAGCCTCTGCCCGACACCGGTATTGATGTGATCTTCGTGGTAGACAACGGGTAAGTGCCTGCATGGCGGGATTCATGATGCCAGCTGACATTCTGTACAGTTACTATGTGACTCCGGCTTGTCTCGAGAGGTTGCTGGATGCGGTTAATGGAGCCTTGGTAAACCACCATCGTTGATGTCGCTCAGAAGCAATCTACTAACCTTTTTAGTATCATCTTGGCGGCGAGGATCGCGTGGCGCTTTACACTACTCACTGCACCCACCGTGATGTCACCGGAAACAGGCCAGAAGTGCTTTATGCACTTCGACCCGTCTGTACGGAAGTCGATGAGATCTTTCAGGATTTGACGTCTAGGATCGCGCACTCTGGTTCGCAAGTCTGGCATCCGCCTCGTCCGAACCCCTCCATGACTGATGTCATCCTTGGCATCGCGAGATCCATGCAGGGCGAGCACCTCAAGGCCGGTCGAACTCATGTCATCGTGCTGTCTCCTGCAGCCCATGTCTTGCACGATGTATCGAAGTCCTTTCCGGATATCTACATTCACCGCATCAATCCTGCGCTGCTCCCATATCGCCGCGAACCAGAGTTCCAGGATACCATCTGTCTTAAAGACTGCTGCAAGAACGTTTTCGCCAGCAACTGGTCCAAGTACCAATCCACGTCCGGTCGCATCAAGCGTATCTTGAAGAATGCTCGGTCTGAGAAGCCTGTTGGCGAACTGTTTGACTTTACGGTCGAACTCCGGACTAAGGCAGGTTGTGAGATTCTCTTTGTCTGTGGAGACAAGGAGATTCGCCGATTGTTTCCAGGACAAGTGCACACCCTCTTCGTCTGGGTCCGCATCAACAAGGCTGAGACTCAGGGCGTTAACCTCAACTCTGACAACCCCATTCTCAACTCATGCCTTGACGCCAACGGACTGAGACAGGAGCTGCAGAACTGTGTCCGTGCAGGTGCCACCAAGGTAAACCCTCTTGAAGTGCAGCTACTGCATCGCAGCTCACTTCACCCGACGCGATCTTGGATGTACACGGAGGCTCAGCTCATCCTCACTCGCGAGCTTGGCGGGCTGGCACCTCTCCTGGATACATCCATGGAGTTTTTCAAGCGTCAGCTTTTCTGCAACCTTTCTCGAGTGTCGGCGGACGAAGCTAAAGTTGTGGCTGAAGCGACTCTTAGCACCCTCCCCAAGGACCATGAACAAGCAAAGATGCTGCTGGAGAGCATGTCGCAGGAGATCGAGCTTCACTTGGCGATCCGCAAGTATGAGAAGGAATACCGACAGAGGCTCCCGCTGTGCCCCGGTCCCACCGACGTGGAAGCATCTCACAAGTGGCTTCACGAGCTGTGGGCTCGTAGGAGGAACAAGCGCAGCGGCTCAGACGTGGCCTGATGCCTGTCCGCGAGCATATCGGTGATTCATCAAACCATGGTGGTGAAGGTCGGTGGTGGCTGTCAGCGCCTTTGTTTTTGGCTCGAAGCTGATGGCCAGAGGGTGGAGGAGGATACTGGCGATGCATGTGTTGGAGCAGCGAATCTCGCTTTCGACTGTGGTCCATTGAAGGCGAGTACGATCTGGAACGATCTGTAGGATACACCTTTGGCTATCACGTTCTGGATCATCTTCCACGAGGCGCGGAGGAAGCCGCAACCTGCCCTGGAAAGCCCAGGCCACACCATCCCAGAATGGTTCGCTGGGGGAATTTCTTGGGCCCCGGATCTTCTACGGTCCCAATATTACGATGTACAAACACTATTAGATTATACCCCAGTGCGAACCATGAGCATCAAACGAGAGATCATCCTGCATACGAGATTGCAAATCTCCTCGTGCTGTTAATCGCCGAGCCGAATGACGTTTGCGTTTTTGCTTTTTCGTTTCATCTCATATGCAGGTCGTCGTTTCTTTCTAGAAGGAGAAGCCCCCGGTCGAACTCGGCTGAACACCCTCTTACCCACGGCAGGGCTCGGATGTGGGCAAAGAAGGCTGAGAAAAAGCAAGACGATGGTGCACCGGAGTTTGCTCCGTCCACAGCCCAGCCTGCATTCTGCGGCTCGATCGCGAGAGGGTTCGAAGGCCATTTCGCGGTTCACCGCTACCGCCGCTTAAACTGCACGATGCTAGCCTTGCATGTACATACGAAGCTGAGATACGAAAAACAAAAGATACATGCACGATGCGCCAGTGCACGCGATCCCTGAGCAGCCCAAATTTTTTCATGATTCCGTTCCCACAAAACGCAACACCATCGTATCGTGCATGCAGCAGCTCACAGACGCGCGCAAAGGCACAGACTGCAGACGCAGACAGGGTAAAAGCAGGTGCGCGCATTTACCACCCAAAGCCTAGTTTTGTCCATGCATCCATCTCTTCCGATAATCGCGTGCCGCTCCCAGGAACAAGCACAATTACCCTGACTTTGGCGCCAGCGTATTAGGTCGCTGCTATCAGCCCGGGAAGTTGCCCCGGCGCCCGGCAGCCAGTTACGCGTGGTAGTCGGGCGCGGCCGGTGTATGTAGGGTTAAGGTTTGGGCCTAGCGAAACGTGACGGGCAGACTTGACCTGACCTGACCTTGTAGTGGGATGGATGCCCAAAGGCTGTATTGGGAGAATGGGAGTGGGAATGGGGGGGTTTGGCGAAGTTTGAATACGGATGCGATCGTACGATGGGTGTGGTGCTGGTAGGGGGGAAGATGGGCGAAGGGTATCCTGGGTAGCGTGGTGCGCGTGGGTTTAGTGCGTGGGTGGGTTGCATCAGACTTGTTCTGGGAGATGGTACCTACCGGTGATGTATGTAGGTGTTTGCAAGGAAGCTGTGTATGCAGATGGTTGGGGGTGAGAAGATTGCATGAGACTCTCACCGCAAGAAAGTGATGTACGATGCATTTTCCGAGAAGAGTAAGAGCATCGTATTGTTCTGTTATGCAGAGATAACGTGAGCGATCTCGTTATACTGACATTGCCGTTTACCTTATGCATTCGCTACTCAAGAAGTGGCTGTGCGAAAAGGTTCAATCACGAGGGCTACAAGAAAGGGTACGAGTGTCCATGTTTATTAAGTAGAATTAGAAACTAGCTATACAGATCCTATGTACAAATAAAGTGTTTCTGTAGCGCAGTGAACAAGATAACAACACAAAGTGTGATAATCTAATGTGTATAACGCTTCAAGCAAGACACCCCAGTAAAACTGCTGGAAGAGTGAGACATGAGAGATGCGTGGTGGAACGCTTCGTTCGACATTGGGCGGAGTCGTTATGATAGACCGTTGTACTGAGACTTGGGAGATATAACTGTCGCGTGGAGTGTATCGACAGGCGACAAACCAAAACTCCAAAGAGACATGCTGCATGCAAAGCCGTGGCCAAAGCCAAAGAAAAAACCTCAAAACTTCGTCCCCACATCCTCAGGACCCCATCTCGAAACCCGTCCTACCCTCCGCGAGATGGAATCGCGGTATCCAATCCCCAGCCCAATGCCTTTCTTCTTCTTCGGGCTCGCTGTCTCGTCTCTCATGTCGCTCATGCTGTGCACCTTGGCAAGAAGACTCATCCTTGGCCCTTCAAAGCTCTTGTTCGAGTTGACCATGAAGTTCGTCTGCAACGTCAAAGGTGAAGACGAAGGAGAAGAGTAATGATTGTGAGGCGGAACCAGGAGTTGACCGGGGCCAGCCAAGGGTGTCTTGCGGCGGAGTTGAATCAAAGAGCGTTTCTTGAGAGGAGGCGGAGGGGTGAGATTGGGTCGTGGTGGAAGAGCGAAGTGGTGGAAAGGTGGTGTGGGTGGGCGCGAAGACATGAGACTGGATGAGCCGTTGGATGTGCGTTTTATCTCTTCCCAACCTTTGTTCCGAGGTGCGGAAGTGGTTGTTGGGGTTGGAGATGATGGTCGGACGGAGTAGGTGGATTGGGTTATTGTTTTGTCGCTATCTGCTCGTTCGGAATGTGGTGGTGATGGTGATGGGATGTTGGTTGAAGGGAGTGAAGTGTATGCGTATCTGTCGTCTTTGAGTGTGGGGAAGAGGATGCTACCAGTTGACCGAGGTGGTACAACTGCTAATGAGTTTGCGGCTGCTATGCTTGGTAGTGACATTTCGTCATCCGAAAGTATTGTAGATAACATCGGTCGCAATGGCGTCCTGCTTACGGGTGCTGGCGCATATACATGTACCATCACTGAATCCGGTGTTTCCGATCTTACATCGACAGGCAGAAGCAGGTCATGTTCGATCGGATCTGGAAGAGGGTCGTCCGCGTGTCCCTCCCTAATAGATGCCAGGATCTTACTCGCTCGACGCCAGGAAGGAGATATCGGTGGGACGTTTCTCGATTCGGAATCTGGCGAAGGACAGGCACGAAGGCTCCTTAGGGACCTTTGGCTCTTGACACTGCTTCGCCTTGAAGACACAGAATGACTACGCTTTAAGCTGCAGCTATTCATGATTGGACTTATAGTCGGCGATGGAATAACATGGTCGCGGAAGAGTGGTGTCAGAGACGCTGGTACGGGGGGGAGAGGTCTTTGCGGGCCCGCAGCATACTTTGTCACCTCCGCAACAAGATCAGACCCAGGATCACTCGGCGAGGTAATCGCATCGCTACCTCTCCAGTCTCTAAAGGGGTCTCTAAAGGGGTCTTCAGGATCTCGGAATGGGTCTTCTCTCCAGGGGTTGCCAGGGTCGCTGTAATTCTGCGCACTGATGTTGAGCCAACCGCGAGGATCGTACTCGCGAGAGTTCTTGGGCACGCGAGGTGGTGTTCTGCTTCCAGTCGAAGGCAAGCCACTCGCTCCACCAGACATGAAGATGAGTGCATCATCGGATGCACTGCCACTGCCACCGTTCTCGCCGAGTGAAGGATCGTACAAGTACCCCAGTTTGGGGTAGATACCCGATGAGCCACCACTGGCACGCTTTGCCGTATGAATAGCATGATAGCGGCGAGCGACGAAGATCGCGGCGACTATAGCAAGTAGGATTCCAGCTGTACTTCCTATAGCCACCCCGGCAGTCTCCTCTGGCGTCAGTGGCTTTGAGGGTGGAGCTGCAGCGGCCTCTGTCTCGGTAGCACTGCTCGTGGGCGCATTGGTCAAAGTTCGGGTCCTCAGGGTAGTGTCGTAGGTATTTGTAGACATCGAACTCGTGCGCGAGCTGAGAATCGAGCTCTCAGTCCCTGTCTTCGTCTTCGTTATGAAGCCGGTGAGCGAAGTGGGAGTAGAGATAATAGCAGACGTGGTGGTGGATAAGAAAGGAAATGATGTAAACACGTCGCGCAAGGTACCTGATCTGGTTGCTTGGGAACTGGTGATGATACTAGCCGTAGATAACGGTGCGCTGGGAGTGAGAGTTCCGCCAATGACGCTGGAAGTTGAGCTGTTCGTCCACCCAGTAGATGCCGTTTGAAGCGGAGGTTCAAGCGGAAAAGGTAAAAGTCCAAAGTCAACGGAAGACGACGCGGAAATTCCTGACGCGGGGGTTGATTGCGCAGTTGTTGGATCGCTCCCCCAAAGTGGTGCATCTGAGATCTCCGCCGCCTGACTAGATGTCGCAGTACTCAAGATCTGACTAGTCTTCGACACGATGAAGGTTTGTGTGAAAGAGCCAGATAAGCCAAAAGATGACGAAATCGTGGCAGTGCTTGCGAGGCTGCTTGCTTCCGAGTATGTGGTTGCGAAAGCCAACGAGGAGGAGACGGTGCCGTTTCCTGGTGCCGGCGGAGATATGTACCCAGTTGTTTGCGCTAACGTAGTAGTAGTCGTGCTTGTTGGTCTTGTCATGTTACCGTTGATTGGATTAATGGGTATGGGTTGCGGTCGAGTCATGGTTGAAGAAGCAGTCTTATCGGGATTGGTAGATGTAGAAGTCGTGACGCTATCGCTCGAAGTCGAGCTGGCGATCCGAGAGCTGCTAGATTGAACAGGTGTGGTTACATTCGATGCGGGAGTCTCGTTCTTTGTTACGCTGGGCTGAGCAGAGCTAGATGGCCTGCCCGCAATCACTGAGCCCATCGAAGCTACCAGGGACGCTGTTGTAGAAGTGATGCTTGTCGGAAAGAGTGAATCACTGGAGAGAGTCGAAGTTGATGAGGGACCAATCACACTGCTTTCGAGCTGGGCTGAGGCGGAAGGGGTTGATGCCGGCGTGTTAAGTGGTGCATTGTCCTGACCCGATGGCAGATTGGCGTATCCAGTTGAAGCAGACGATTGTGCTGGTTGAGATGCGACACTGATTGGTGTGGCCGCATCTGCAATGGAAGCCGGAGATGCGAGGCTACTGCTTCCACTTCCAATGACAGCGGGAGCGGAGCTTGATGCCACCCAGCTATTAAGACTAGATACAGAGTGCTGAAGTAGTCCTGTAGCCTTTGTGGGCTCACTAGTGACTTTTCCTTTTGAAGAGGCCGAGGAAACAGACTTGATTGATGTGATCGCAGTAACATCGACGGTGGAGGTCGAAGATGGAGATGGCAAGGTCTGCGAAGAGATTATCACCAGACTTGATACAGCCGTAGGGTAGACTGGGAAGGAGTATGTACTGGCAGACAGAGGAATGCTTGACGCTCGTGATGAGTCCGCAATCACCCATGTTGTGGATGGTGTGGATGTACTCGCGGTCGACTTGACGTCCGAAGTGACTGGTAGGACCTGAGCTGTGGATGATGCCCGCGTAGAAGAAGAAGCTCCTACTGGAATCGAAGATGCTTGAATGGAGATGGATGTCTGTATTTGATCGATCAAAGAGATCGATGATGGTGTAGATAGCTGCTGCGTTCCTGTGATGATAAGGGATGTCGCCGCCGACTCGCCCGCAGCAGAAGATATTGCAGGCGCGCTGCCACTTGCGCTACCATATGAGCTTGTTGTTCCATCTGAGTCTTGCTTCGTTGGATTTGGCTGGCGAGAGGAGCTGGTAGTCTGGATAGTGGCTGTTGACGGCGCGTTGATCTCGGACTTCGACGTCGTAATAGAGTCCACTGTCGTAGAAGTGTAGAGCGTCGATGTAGCTGATGTGCTTAGGCTTGTTGAAATTATCTCTGATGTGCTCGTGTCATTGCGAAAATGCAAATCGCGCCGTGGAATTATAGGAGATTTCTCGTTCGTGAGATGAGTATTAGAGAGGCTTGCAGCTGCATAATATGAGTCAATGCAACCATCTACCAGCGCTCCACTTACTCTTTGAACCTGATTCAACATTACTCGCAACTACCAAAGATGCAGTGCAACACGCGAACAGAACACGCTCGAACCAACCCATTGCATGCTCACGAGATCTGAAACGAATGACTAGAGGAAAGCAAAGCAGAGTAACAACAACGAGGCGGAGGCAGCACGGCAGATACCCGGAGATGATGAAACAGACAACAAAGAGGCAACATATAACTATTGAATTCCGCGCCTCGTGCCCAAGGCCGTGGTCCTTCGTACGGTTGCACTTTGTTCGGACCGAGTTGGGTTAGGCGCGAAATGTACCTTGCATGGGTGCTGTAGGAACTGGGGCTGAGTCCACACACCTTGCCTACAACCCCGAGAATACTCACTGCATCAGCTATGATTAGCTCAGGATTCCGGCTGTGGCGCTCGATCGTTCGCATATTGTGCATCAGCCGCCCGATCGTTTATAACAGTTGTCAGAAGTGGGCATTTTGGTTGCATTACCCATGATGTGCTGCGCAAAATACCTTCTATTGACTTCGCTAAACTGACAGAAGAAGCGCTGCTGACTGCCGACCCCGAATATTGACGTGGCGCAGCCCTTTCCAACCTCTGCCACCTCAACGGCGTCTGTGCCGCTGATTCGGCTTCGCGGTAAAATTCCAACGAACCTCTCGAGATTGCGGCGGGGCGTTGCTGGTTGGAACATGCAGTTCTCACTGACGCTGCTGGCCCCAGGCGGTTGGAACGGGTACGCTCCGTACCGCCCGTAGGAACTGCCGCTCTTCCCTGTCATCACCGTGTCGAAGGAATCGTTCACGCGCCGGTGGAGCCATCACCGGTGACGACCTTGGCTTGGCTATCGCGAATGAGCTCCCCGATCCAAAGAGGCAGTGCTCGGATTATGGGAGTAATCGCTGGGCCAAGAATCAGTTGCCCACTCTTGACTGAGACTATCTGGTTCACCATGGCCTCGGCTACGTCTTCTGGCTCCAGGATGTTTGCGCGCACGCTTTTCAGCCCCGCCGCGAGCGCCTCGTGTGAAGTGATTGCTGACTTGGTCCAGTTGGGATGGACCATGGAGGTCTGGATCGTTGGACACTTGTAGCGATGCTTAATTTCTTGTGTGAGGCCTTCATGGAAAGCTAGAAGCGCCGCCTTGGTGGCACTGTAATCCACGGCACCTGCGAGAGCAACGAAAGAAGCAAGACTTGCGACGCCCATGATGTGGCCTTTCTTCTTAGCAAGCATGTCTGGCAGAAACTCTTGGACGGTACTCCAGTGACTCAGAAGATTGATGTCGAACATTCTGTTGAGGTTGACTTGGGGAATGTCTTTGATGGTCCACGCGTTACCGATGCCAGCATTGTTGATTAGTATTGATGGTGAGCCCAAGTCGGAACGTATGGCTTCCGCCGCCTGATGGATGTTGTCTCGCGATGTAATGTCACATTTGTAGTATCGTACGAGGGCAAGCTCATCTAAGATCATTAGCTTGAAACACGGCGATTGTGTGCCGCAACGTACCTTTGGTAAAGATTTCTGACAGGGGGCTAACGTCCAGAACCGCAACCTTGATGCCATGAGAGGTGAGCTTCTTGACCACACAGCCTCCGATGCCCGCCGAACCACCCGTGACTACAGCGACTTCGTTCTTCCAATCCCAAATAGACTTATCGGTCCTCCAGATCCATCGCCTTTCGGCAAAGCGATTGAGCACCGAGTTGAAGTCTACAAGGGCCCATATCGGCAACGCCCACTTGAGGTAGTAATGGAGGGTTACAAGCTGACTGCTGGAGAGACCGAGTTTCCCACCAAGTCTGAAGTACTCGGGTTTGGCGACTCTGAGAAGCACGGCTGCCAGTGTGAGCAAGGCACATCGGATCATGATGGGGCTGGTAGATGGGGCGAAAGGGTTTATTGAAAATGGGGGCTGATGGGGTCGAGGCAGGTACTATGCAGGTACTGATACGAAGGTTGGGGGCTTCCAAGACAGGGCAAAAGATAGGCAAACGATTGAACGCCTGTCGAAGGCAGCAGTAAATGTCCAAGAAGTCATATGTACTCTTGAGGTTTGCTGGGTGCCGAGGCATGTAGGACTAGCCTGGACAAGCGTTGTAGATCATGTATCGGAACTGGGGCCGCCATTCGCTAGTCCCGCGATGTGATATTGACGATTGAAATATACAGGATTGAACATATCTTCCTAACGACGCCACTTTCGCAATCAACGCATGTCGTTCGCTCGTCCGTACAGTCTCAGCGGTACGCTTACGCCGTTTCTGTATCCCGCCTTCCTCCACGTGCCACTTGCCTCGGCAGCGCGCAGATGTCCACTACGCAAACGATTCCCGCTACAGCTCAGATGCAACTCCACGTCTGCTGAGCAGTCCGATGCGAACCCGAACGCGCAGTCCTCGCGATTAGATCCCACAGCGGACGACTATTCCCTCACGCCTTTCGCCGACCGATGCATTCTCACCGTTGAAGCTGGTGGCGGCGGCCACGGCTGCGTGTCGTTCCTGCGCGAAAAATACATTGAAGAAGGGCCTGCAAATGGCGGCGACGGTGGCAGTGGAGGCAACGTCTACATCCAAGCAGTCCGCGGCGAGACGTCGTTACATAAGCTTGCGAGACGGCGACAGATCAAGGCGGGCAGAGGGCGCAATGGACAGGGCAAGGTTAAAGGTGGCGAGCGGGGGACCGACGTCTTGATCACGGTGCCTGTGGGGACTATCGTGCGCGAGCTACAAAGACATGACCCGGTGGCAATCATGGAGGAGGAGCACTGGAAGATGGAGCAGGATGAAGAAGCGGAGGAGTTGGAGGAGGGACAACCCAGCTACAGGAGAGACCGATGGCTGGTTTACCCCGGCACTATACCCTCCGAACTGAGCCGGATCAAGTTTCCCAAGCTCCCTCCACCACGAAGATCGCATCTAGCAGCCCTCGAGCCGGAAGCGCCCATGTGGCTGGACTTGGAC